ATTTGCAATCGTAGATATTATATGACATTTGTTAATGATTTTTTTTTTGCTATGCTTATCTGTTCATGATTAAAGAAAGTTTGAAACTCTTGATAAATTCAAGATCTTTGAGATTTAAGTTGAGAAATAGTTAGGAAAAAACCATTAAAAGTGACAAGTATAATAAAGGTGGTGATTATATGACAATCATGACACAAGCAAACAACAAAAGGAACCGTTTGTCATATATTTAGAAAGTTATGGAATAGTGCCCAATATGTTACTCTTCATAATCTTGGAAAAAATGGTATGACTTAAAAGGCAAAATTGCACTGTAAAGAATATGGTGAGGAGTATGATGAGCAGGGCCAATTTACTAGAATTTATGTAGGGAGAAGTAATTAAAAGAGTTTTATATATCCTAAATGGAATCTCTTACAAATATGAACCTAAAGCGGTTTTTGAGTTGTTGATGGAATGTAAACCTAGTTTTAATCACCTACATAATTGGGAGTCTTTTAAAGGTACGTCTTTATGATCCCACTAAAACTAAAATATAGTATTGTTTCAATTGTTGTTATTTTATTGGGTACCGAGATTGTTTCATGGGCTATAGATTTTTTGCTAAGTGGATGTGGTAAAATTGTTAAGTCTAAAACAACTATGTTTTTGGACTTGAATGTGACTAATACTAGTTGTTCTCAAATTAGTGAGAAATGAAAGTGTGTTGAGATTGTAAATATTCCTTTGCCCATATAGTAGAGTACTGTGGCACATACACTAGCTAGGTAAATGGGATTAGTTTAAGAAATTTCTCATGAAAAACCTTAACACCAAAATGTTGGAGAATAAGTACCACAAAGAACTTTACAAGAATAAGGAAGCTTGCTCTTCTTTCAAACATTTGTGAGTTCTAACATAGAGAGGGTTATATTGGCCATATAGTTGATCCAGTAACTTTTTCAGAAACTGATTTCAATCCTCAATTAGATTTATGGTGCGATACACACACACCTTTGTTGCTCTTAAGCATAAATGAAGTAATGAATTGATAACTTAAGGGCATGTTTTTGTGCATAAAGCATATATCGAGATATGTAAGGTAAATGTATAGGTTTTTTAAATAAACCATAAAGTGTTCTTGTTGAGAGCTTGAGCGACATAAAATAAAAAATAAAGTGATTGAAAAACAAATGCAACACAAGAAGTAGATCATCAAAACAGTGTTGTTATTCATCGATACACTACCACATTGAAATCATGTTGATAAGGTATGTGATCATAGGCTTACTATATCTTTATAGTTATAGTTGCCACTATTTTTTGATATAAACAATTTTATTGGATAACACAATGTTTGGAGTAATTTCAAGACCAATTTATATTTAAATTGGACCTATAAATTTTTCAGTTGTCTAGCCTTTTAGTTGTTTTTAAGAAAATTTATTTTTTGAAATTTGAATTGAAATGGTGCAGTCTAATTGGAAGATTATTAGATTTTTTTCATATAATTGAAGTATTATATCAAAATCAAGCAAGTTAATTTAGTCTAGATAATGAGTTGATATTATAATCTATGCTCTAATATTCTATGTGGGCTTAATGGTATAAGGATGTCTAAAAATCATAAATCTTATGATATGTTGATTAGGAATTCAATATATATATATATATATATATAAATTAAGTTTTTTCTCCTATTTTGCATATTTATTTTCTCACCCATTAGAGAGTTGTTAAAAAGAAAGTGAATGATCATAGTGCATTGCGTTCGAATAGGTAGTCAATTTGAGAATCCTGTTGTATTTATGATTTTTTTTTAATTGAAGGAAGAGGAGTTCGAATTAGTGCTGTTGTGTCTATGACTCTTTTATAGTAATCAAATATGTTTTTTTTTGTTTTAAATTTATAATATGATAAATCCTAGATTATGTGTAATTTATTATATATAAAATTTTCATAATCTACTCATAAACCTAACTTTATATGATACTAAAAACAAGAAATGCTTTAGTTATAAGCACAAATCCATAGTCCAAAATAACTGTTTTGATAAACAGTAATTTGATGTAAAACATGCTCAAAAAGGAAAACATTGGGTTGTGGGGGGCAATGGGCAAAGGCAATATTCAAATTGAACCAAAGAAAAGCGCAATCATCTATCCTCTTATTGGATGACAAAACTGGCTTTCAGCAGTGTTGCGATTGGCAGGCCACAAAGAAAAAATGTAGTGGTTAAAAAAAAAAAAAGTACACTCTTTGTCTAGAGTGTGAGTGTGTGAGTGTAAAGCATGTGCGCCAAAATCTTTATCAAGTGTCGCAAAGGGTCCTAATATCCACTCTAATGTTTTTATCCAATCCATCATTGTCACTACAAAACAAAATTATATATATGAAAAAAAAGCCATAGATATTCTCATATATTCTGTTTAGTTGTAATCACTAATCAGCGTTCACCAGCCCAGCAAAGGGAGACTTTTTTACGTAAAAGCTAATCAAGGAAACTTTGCAATTGGTTCCAATACAACAGGCAGTGCAGTCCAGCTTGCTGGCTGACGACTGACGACACTCTTTTTTTTTTTTCTTTTTATTTTGTCTTTTAACTAAACTAAAATTTTATTATATGCGGTTAATTTATCATTTATTTTACAATTGCTGTTGCTATTCTCTTCCGGCTGTTCTGTTTCTTGTCTTGTATTTGGCACGACATGGGTTGAGTAAATCAAAACAAGTTTTACAGTATAAAATTGTAAGCCCACAAGAAAATTAAGAAAAGATGGGCAATGAAAATGACATTTGTCGAGGAAGATGGTGGAGTGCTTTTCTTTGTTTGGATATCTTAAAGATTACTATTAGTTTAATCAAGTTATCACGAAAGTACAAGTCCTTATTTGGGTTATTTTGTTTTTATTTGTTTATTAAATTATGGGGAATAATATGATTTTTTTTTAATTGAAAAGGGCGGTGCCTTGTCCAATACCGCCCAAAGTGTTAAAACTAGCGGCGTCACCAAGAGTAAACCGCCAACATATATATATAGTATAATCCAAAGTCCAACCAATAATACCCGGGGTCACAGGCCAATCACATCCTCACTTTGAATTGACTCTTCTTTTCCCTAATGTTTCAATTAACCAACCTCAAACCTCTCTTAACACTATGGCTAGGGGTGTTTCGAAGGAGTTAGACCCAGGCTTTTAGATTGTATTAAAGATTAGCACCTCTTTAACATTGGCCCAATTTTTGAAATTACAAGTTTGGGCTTAGAGAGGCTTGAGTTGGATCATCCACTCGAGTTTGATTTGTTTATAATAAAGTGTTAATTCATAAACTAAGTATGATTAATGTTGGATTGATAGCCCTGCCTAGTAGGATTGTTTCGGTGGGGCAATGAAAAATTGGGTCAAGAGCCTAGATCATGCCTGATGCAAGGATATGGCCCTGAGGAACTCTTTTTCCATTATTTTTGCAGTTGAGAGCATTCAATCGATTACTGTAAAGATTAAGCTTGTTGCTGACTATAAAAGAGGCTTGGTTTCAAGTTTGGTCCTTAATTAAATATGTATACGTAGCACCATTTGCAAACCTTCTAAACCAAGCTATTTGCGCAGGAGTTGAGCAACTTAGCATTTGCTTTCACTGCAACGTTCCCGGTGGTCTAGTGAATATGTATGTTCTAATACATAGTAGAATTTCTTTTACTTCGTTAATTTCCCTGTCAATGAGCAAGGTTAAAATTAAATCTTTGTTTACATTTAGAAACCAGTTTGAAACCACAGCAAATATCTTAAAGGTTACAGTAATCCTAATATTGAATGATAAATCAATTCTAATTATGTTTGCCAAACAAGCTTAACAATCCACCTTATTATGAGTTCTGGTCAATGTGGTGGACTCACAAGCACTGTTACTCTGAGTCCAATTAAAAAAATAAGTTATTGTGAGAATAGTTTGTTTTTAGTCGATATCTCCAACATTTTAGCATCTCTCACGCAACTCAACTTAAAAAAAGAAAAAGTTCAAAAGAAATGTCCCATCTTCGTAAATGTATAATGAGAAAATTTGTTGGAAAGGGGAACAAAGAGAAGGTAAAAAAAGATGGTTCTTAATCCTAGTAGCGATAGTGATCTTTTGAAGAGAATAAGAAAAAATTCAAGCGCCTGAGGGCTGTGCCTGAGGATGGCGATGAAGATATGAATAATTCCGATGCTGTTGATGATGGGCTTGTTCATGTTTCTGACAAATCCTCATATAGAGGCAAGTTGACTGGTTCTAAGTATCCACAACACTCTTGCTGGAAGGAGTGGGTTGAGGAAGGACAAAGAGATGAAATGCAATTTGATGAGGAGATCTCTAATGATGAATCGGACTCGAACCAAGCTCCATGTGTGGGAGGAAATGTACCAAGGGTTTGCTTTACAAAAGAGGAGAAGCAGGCAACGAGGAGTCCTTGGCGTAAGGCATTGATCGTGAAATTACTTGGTAAGGTGCTTGGTTTTCAAACCTTGATGGCGCGAATAAAACATCTCTGGCAACTTGAAGGTAGGTACAAAGTGATTGACCTTGGACATGATTATTTTCTATTCCAGTTTGAGATGTGAGATAAGATTATAAACATGTTCTTGAGGGAGGTCCTTGGATTATCGGGGGACATTATATTGCGGTTAGACAATGGGTTTCAAATTTCAATCCTAGTTTGGACAAGATTAATAAGATTATTGCGTGGATGCGTTTCCTGGGTCTACCTCTAGAGTATTATAATAGTCTTGCATTGTCAAGAATGGGGACTCATGTAGGAAGGATTATTCATATTGATCATAATACTGAAGAAGCTTTGAGGGGCTGTTTTGCTCATTTGTGTGTTGAATTGCATCTCACAGCCCTTGGTGTCCAAGGTACATGTTGGCAAGCATGCTCAAATAGTGGAGTATGAGGGGATTCATCTAATTTGTTTTGAATGTGGACGGTTTGGACAACGGTAGGAGGCCTGTTCGAGTGTTGTGGTGGTAGCGACACCAACGATGGAAGAACCTTTGGTCATTCCTGTTGAGAAATCAAATATTGTACCGAAGAAGAATTTTGGGCCATGGATGATCCCCAAACGATGGAATCATAAACCACAAAGACAGGAAGGTATCATTAATGGAAAGGACTCAAGGATGAGTGGTTCTAGCAGGAATGATAGCAAAAAATCAGGTAAGGTTGGTGAGTAGAATCTGAGTGGTTTTGGATTGGAATATCAGAACAGATTTGCTGGTTTGACAGAGAGATTTCGGATGATGCTACTAAAGAAGTTGTTGTGATGGAGTCTACTAGTAGTAGGGGTCCTAGTTTCATGCAACGTATTCCAAACAGAGATAAACTTGGAAACGTTGCTAAGCCTAGTTTTCAAAATGAAAAAGATCCACATGGAATGGTCAACTTAAGGTTGCGGAGCCCGTGGTTACAAGTTCACATTAAAATTTCCAAAATTTACTTTCTAGGCTGGTACTTTTTCGAAGAAAGGTGGTAAAGCACGTAAAATCAAGACTAAGATTAATATGGGCCCTAATATTCAACAAACTAGTATCAAAATTGATGATGGTGGTTTATCATTAAAACTTTTTGATAATAGCTCTGCCGGTTTTAAGCCCAAGTTCTCTTCCTCAACAGCATCCCCCATCTTCCTCAACAACATTTTACTGATATAAGCCCAAGTTCTCTTCCTCAACAACATCCCCCATCTTCAAAAGAAAGTGGAAATAAGCAAGTGGGCTCGACTAGTGAAACAGATGGAGACAATCTGGTTACGAAGAATGATTAGGTTAACGGTGGGGATTTGCCACCACCAATGGATCAACAAATGTTTTGAACACCGTTGGATGTTGTCTATTTCATTAACAGTATCTTATGTCCATATTATTTTGGAATTGTCGAGGTGCAGGTAGTGCTGAAATTTCTTGCCATTCTTCCAAGGTGCAAAACACCTCACAAATACAATTAAGAAAAATAATAGCGGTTACATAAGAGGAACCTTAAATCCTTAGTATCAAACCATAAAATTGTTGCAAAAAATTCTCCTAACATTAGCGTAATCATTTTAGTTGGGCACCTCATCTCCCATCATCAACTTAGTAATGGAATAATTATCAACCACATCAAAAGCCTCAAAATTGTTTTCAAATTTCTGAACTGCATCTAACATTTAATAAGGAGAATTCGATCTGGTTCTAACATCCAAACACAATAAACACTTACTTTGAATTTCATCATTAGCAATATCATCTTTAAATTTGACTAACCTAATAGAAGATTCTAATACATCTCATTGTTGCTTTAACACAAGTAATTAATTCATTCATTTCCTATAATCCATCACTCACAATAAGACTAACAATATGTGCAATGCACCTTTTACGAAGAAATTTAGTCTTAGAATGCTAGTTCTAGCAATGTTAAATTTTTTCTTCAACTATGTGATTGCAATATCATTGAAACTAGCAGTATCAATTGAAACACAGGAAACCTTTTGCATCCCCCAATCATGCAAAAATTTGTCAATTTCCTTCCCAATGGCTTCACCTCTGTGACTCTAAATAGGACAAAAGTTAAAAAATTTTTTTAATAGTTTCCCATCATTTTTTATAAATTGTATTGTATGACACATAATTAATTCTTTGTAATAAAGTCTATGAGCTTGTAGTAAGAGATACTCAAGCAAGATGTTTCAAGAATTGCTTCAACTAGTTATTTTCATCAACATAAATTTTAAAACAATCCCTAGCAACAACCCATCATGATGATACAGAAAATATAGGACATGCTAGAGACATGTAACTTTTAAACCCTTTACACCTTTGTTAATGACGCCATGGCTAAACTTCCAACTATCAAAGGACTCATCTCCTCCCAATTGCAAAACTAATTCCATTTGATTACAATCTTCACTAGCACAAAGCATTACCAACTTTTTATAGACACTCATATGATTCTTTAAAGAACTAAAGAACAAAGAAACAACCCAAAACAATCACAATTTAATAAATCAATTAAAAGAAATTTATTTTAATAAATCTATTAAAAGAAATTTATTTTTCTTACCACTAAAATGAGAAAAAGAATAATTGAAACCCCATATTTTAGAGATTTTTCTATTTTTGAGATAGATAATCACAATTATGAGAAAAGAGAGAGAAATTGAAGAAGAAGAAGTAGAAGAAAAAGGGTTGGGCAAGCTTTTGAAATATAAGAACGAGAAAAGGCTTGTGAACCGTTGATATGAGGAGAAGACAAAGGATTGTCAATAAGAGCATCAATAAGAGGGGAAAAATAAATGGGCGGGAGGGACAATTAGGGTTTAGGATGAAGAAGATAAGGGGTTAGAAATGAAGAAGAAAACAAAATAACCAAATTTTTATAGTTACCGTTTTCCAACAAAATTTTTGTCCGTAAAAGATTTTAAAACAAAAAAACTATATTTTTTTTATTTTTAAGGGCCAATTTTGATGAAATTCGTCAACAAAAGTATGTCAGATGCATTTTCAATAAAATGATTCATCGAAAAATTCACATTAATGTTTTTCTTAAATTGCACATAATGCTTTTCAAAAAATGAATTTTTGTTGGAAATTGTGAGCAATTAAATTTGAAAAAAATTATATGGTTGGAAATCTATCAATAGTACTCTTTACTTTTCGCTAAAATAAATACTGTCAAAATAATGTTGATTTTTAGTAGTGTCTGTGATTACCCTAAAAAAAAATCTTTGTGATCAATATGCATATCATACTCCTAAATAAACCACAAATCTTGCCTTACTCTTTTTCTATCCAACACTAAACACCTAGAAAACATAAAAAAAGATCTTTTTATTTTGAAGCTCAAGTATTTTAGCATTGGTTAAAAATTAAAATTAAAAACCCTAGAATCACTAGACAATAAGACAAAATGGTATAAACCTACAAAAGTGTAAATTTTCAACATCCCAAAATGCTAAATTGTAAGCCTAGAGGGTATACTTGTAATAATAAATCTAGACAAATCCAAAGCCCCAAACTTTCTCCCTAAGCAAGCCCCCATTCATAAAATGCCACAGTTAGGAAGTCTATGCTAATGTTACAAAACATAAACACAAACACAAACACAAAGCTAGGCTAAAGCCCTGTCAAACCACGACACTTTATTAGTATCTGATTTTTCTATTTCCTGAGTCTTCCCATGGTTGCAGAAAACTTCTTTGCCCTCTCGAGTGACGAAGAAGACGACGACGTGTTGAAACTCATCAACCGTGTAAAGGATGTGGACAAAGAGAGCTCGTCTCTGGTGGAGAAGGTGCAAAAAGAACCGAAGGAAGAGAAAAAAATGGCTTACCTGATTCCTTCTGATATGTGGGCTAACCACCTCATTCTTCCCAACCATGGTATTTATATGCTTAACTTTCGTTGTTAATTTATTCTTTGGGATCAAGCATTATACACTACATATTTGACATTGCAATTTTATGTTTGGTCGAAGACTGTCATGACATAATGGGTCTATGTCGTAGTTCTCTTTGCAAAGCTTTTTATATATGTTTTCTCTTGGCAAAACTATCATGACCCATTGTGTATAATAGTTTCTCTCATTTACTTTGATTTTCTGCTTATAATTTATTGTTGAACAAGTATGGCAATATCCTTAATCATTTCTTTTTCAAAATAATTTTCTTGTTAGTTTGGAGATCTTTCATTGAATCCTTGTATTTACAAGAAGAAAGAGAGAGAGAGAGAGAAAGTAGAGGCTGAACCTAGAAAAAAGCATATATATCGGTAGCTGCAACCCTTCATATGTGGAGATGTGCATGCTATGTTAAAACTCATGTTTTACACATGTTTTAACAATTAGATCAAGTGTTAATCTTCTTTGATAGGTGTTTATATTTCACTTGTACTATAAAGCTTGATATTAAGGCATGAATTGCTACTGATATTTCACTTTAGATAAAAACAAAGTTTTCTTTGTTTTTAGAACCTCCACAACAGAGCCTTCGCATACTCAAAGGCTTGCTCTCTATCATCAAAATCAACATGGTATCAGAGCTTCTATAAGCTCTCAAGGGACCAAAACACAGAAACATATCCTTTACAAAGCCTTTCTCAATAGTTGATAGTAACTTGTTTAATGAAAAAACACTTCCTCGTTGGTAACTTTTACCACTACTTCCCACCCAACTCCACCTACCTTTAATGGAGATAATTTTTCCTCCCGGTCGGTAAAAATGAAAGCTTATTTAAAGGCTTACAATCTTTGTGATGTAGTTGAGACAAGGTATGAGCCTCTTGTCTCTCAAAGAAAATGCTAGCCTAGCTCATGTAAAACAACATGAAGAGGAAATGGCCAAATGTTTCAGTACTCTATCATTCATTCAAGCTTGTGTTAGAGAAGTGGTATTTATAAGAATAATGGCTTATGAAATAGCAAATTAGATCTAAGATACACTCCAAGAAGAATTCCAGTGGTCTAACAATACCAGGTAATTAAGGATGTTCAATCTTATGAGGGAATTCGAGATCATCAAAATAAAGGACTCTAAAACAGTAAACGACCACATCAACAAGGTTGCTAAGATTGTTAATCAAGTCAGGCTACTTGGTGAAAAGATTTTAAAAAGTAGAATGGTACAAAAGGCTTTTCTTTCTCTGCCAAAAATGTTCGAGCCTACAATATTTTCATCAAAAGGGTCCAAAAACGTAGATAAGCTCACTTTGAATGATGTGATAAATGCACTACAAGCAACAAATTCTAGTTTAGCTATGAGAGCTAGTAACAGTTTAGAGTGTGCAATGCTAGCAAGACAAAAAGCACAAATAAGTGATGATACAAGTTAGAGAAAGATGCCAACAGATCAAAAAGGAAGAAAAGGTTATCAAGGCAACAGGCCTTAAAATAAAAAATACATATTTCTTACATGCAACTACAGTAAGAAAAAAAAACCATGTAGAAGCTAATTGTTGGTTTAGATTAAGTGCCAAGTGCAAAATCTGCAACCAACAACTGAAATCTGAGAAAGATTAAAGAAAATCTATCTATTGGGATAAGAATGATGACATGAATGAAAAGAAAGATGTTGCTGGAGAACAAGCAGCTGAAAGCGATGTAGAAGGGTATGCTTTCTTAATACTGGTTTATGTTGGAATTTTTTAATTCTGAAATTAAAAATCACATTATCTTTAATGGTCCTAACTTTTAGTTTCATGATAAGTGATATGGTTTAAATGGGATTGTGATAACTACCCATTATTTGAATG